TGAGTTCTGCACACGCTCACGTGCACAGAGGCACTTGCCGCAACCTCACACTGCTGTCAACGGGAGCGAGCATAGGCAAAATGGCTTGCGCTGTCTGCCTCAATCTGAATCCCTTGCAAATGCAGTATATGCCCTTCCACTGTTGTCATGTAGGGGGTGGTGGAACACATACGGGTTCCTAGAAGATGTGAATACAGGTTCTGCCGGATGGTCTGAGACACGCGGCATTGCGCACGCCACTGCCCATCGTACGCTCTGTCCTCAAAACCCGTGTGACCTAACTACCCAAAAAGGTAGGGCGATCATTGGCATCGAACAATGCACTACGGGTTCCTTCTGTGGCGATGCCTGCTTCCATGAACTGCGTGGCTAGGCTGTGCCCACATGCACGGACGCGCACACACAAACAGACAGCCAAACAAACGCAAAAACACATACATTCAAATCAGCATTGCGGTCCCAATGCATTCTGCCTATCCAGTGAACACGCGGAGAGCGCTGCCGTGATGTGTCAGCTCCTGCAAATCCGAACATAGCTCTTCGGACAAGTGCACACCTCACTCTTACCCTCCCACAGGCTACGCACCACCGGTGCGCGCCATACCGTAACAGGCTTCCGCCGCTGCAGGTTCGGGAGGCGCTTCGTCAAACGCGACTATCGGGCTTGTGCGGACTTTCCAGGGAACAGGAGTGCCTACAGAGACTGTAAAAGTATGGCGTTGCGTTCTGGGATAATGCTGGTGCCTGCGCTCACAAGGGCGCAATAGCTCGCCATCGAGAATTGTGTCGCCATTCACCAAATGCGTGGACGCGCACGTGTGCTCGTCAGCACCGCGTGTGTCCTCTACCCTCTCCCACGGACCCCTATTAGGGCACCCAACCTCATCCTATCCGAGGAGTCGTTTGCATCCACGCCAGGTGAAAATAAAAACCGGTATTTGCATATCGGCTACACATATAAGGCATCGTTGCTACGAAGGCAAAGGTGTCGAGCTTGCACGCACCAACTGGTAGCCGAGGTAAGTACGCTAGCGCCGTACGCATACCTTCCACAGTAGCACGTGCTGCAGATTTAGAATACTGTATCAAAATGGCTTGTGCATGCAAAAATTCACTGCGCCGTCAGTCTCAACGTCACCGCCCACAACACGTGTAATCGCCACATCCAACCCCGTTGCCTGCAATGTTACCTACGCAAACTGTCCAATAAACCACATGGCAATTCAGAAAGGCTGTCGTCGTGGCACCTGAGCCTTGTCTGCAAAGGACGGTGACACGGACAGACCAATATGGCATCAAGACGGCAGAAGATCATACGTTCTGCTCCAAACGGAAATGGCACATGGCGTGGTCTACACCATACGTCATATTGTCCAGCCAACCTGCATCTCACGAAGGTTCCTGCTATTTCCAAGCATCCGAATTCGCAGTTCTGTCGTCCGAAAGGATTCCCGACATTCACTAAACTTCGGTGAAGTATACTGCACCATTTGTCCGTCCGTTGCGCTCGCCACCCAGTGGTCGATTTCCTGCAGACATACGAACACAGACGATGCACTTTGAACGTCGCATGGGCGCCCAGCGACAGACCTTGAACTGGATGACGTTGTCTGCATGTGTTGGCGAGGAATACATTTGAAACCTACAGATTAGCCTAAGGTGTTGAAGCAACGTCACAGGAGAAGAACTGGCTTACGAAATTACAAGGCCCGCGATTTATAGTCCCTCAGCACCTTATGAAATACCAGTTCAACCGACGCTGAGCACAGTTCAGGCCTTTAGTGGGGCTCCGGTAAGACGCCCGACCAGTCATCTGCTTTGTTCAGAGCGACTCTTGGTGGCACCGCCCCAGCGTGCATCGCAAACGACGCGCACAGTCCGGTTGCGCAAGAAACAACCAGTTCTGCTCGTCTGCCGCACTCGCGAGAAAGCACTCCAACTTAAAGGCGTTCTCTATCAAAGTCCTTGAAATCCTTTATACAGTAATTTCTCGCGTTCGATGGCGCTCCAAGCACTGTTACGTATTTTCTTGTGACAGCGGCAAGGTGGATGCAGACTGATGCACGAGCATCTTAGCTTGTGTTGGCACGAATTTGCGAAAGACAATACTGCGTGTCATGCAACCGAGCTACTACCCCTGATTATTTCGATGCAACCATGTACATATATATATATATACATATATATATATATATATATATAG